TGGACCAATTTAGTTGAGTGCGTTAGGAATGTCAGATGGAGGAGTGTCGTGTTTTTGGCTGAGTGCCATTACAACAGGCGTAAATCATCTGAACTAAAATCCCCAAGTCTCACATTTTGCGTAAGACTTGTCCATTTGTAGGCTGTATCACACTGTATTGGTGGCACCATTGGCCCTCTCCCAGCTTGTGGGCTGCTAACCTGGCAAATTGCCAGTTTCCACAAAGATATAGTGTCAGAGCGCCCACTCCTTTTCTGTGTAGGTGGAATGTGATTGGACCGATATTCATTTCAAATTAATTAACCATTACCATTCTCCTTTCTTGTGACTCTTAAAGATAGGGCAATGAAAAGAATGGGAACAGTATGTTCTTCTTGATATTTCTCTTGTGAAACTCTTATTGATATTTCTCCCTTGACAGGACAAGACTGAGTCACCAACTGTGAAAGGAAAGCGATCCGGTAGGCATTTTGAGTTGTCCAGAATCCGTTTTTTTTTATTTTGGTGAATGTTGTGGGTTCGAGTTGTTGCAAGGGTCAGGTGATCCCATTACATACAACATAAAGTACTATACGGAATATTAATTTAAAACGCAAATTCTTAGACACGTGATTCGATGCGTGACGTAATATTAATTGATAATACGTTGATTAAAGGGCAGCACGGGCATATTTTTCAACTTACGTTTAAAAAAGAAAATGAGCTGGTTTGCGTTCTTTTAAATTACTTCATGAAAGAATGAATGTAATTTAAATGCAGCAATGTGGTATCCGTGTGTTTTGATGTCACTGCAGAACAATGAAACCAACGCAATTTGTAACGATATTTCACAGATACCAATGACCGGTAACTTTAATAGCACGGAGCCCATCAATGCAGTGCCTCTTGAAAGCCACGAGACATCGGTGCGGCCTTTTGGAGTGTCTCTCCAACGTGGGCGTAGAGATGGAATTCTGCTGCTGCTGCTGCTGCTGTTGGGAATGGGTCGCAGAGGAATGACGACGATGTACGTTGCACTTCTTTCGCACCGTACGTAGCCAAACGCGCTAATAGGGAGGTGATGGAGGTGGGGGGGTGGGGGACTGCTACGGTAAGACACGGCGCCTAGCGGTGACGGTCCTGCTCCTTTGTGTCGAGGGCAGGAGGATTGAGGAGGTTGTGAGTCGGCCTGCTGTGATGAGTTCGACCGTGAGCTACAACGTCGTGGCCGGGTGTATTTTTGCCCACTCTGAGGAATGCAATCATCACAAACGACGGCTCCGAGGACAACGTATTAGCTAAGAGCATTTACCAAATAGACACAATGCGCAATTATCAGCTCATGGGTGAACATGTGACGCAGCTTAAGTGAAGTTCATCAGGGGGCTTTTGAAACGGACAAAATGGTCTCACTTTTATGGCAGCTGCATTAAAATAATTTGTATGTTAAAGGTGAATAAAACATTGTTTCGCAAATTTAAAAATTGGTCATGAATGCTAAGCTTGCAAAAGGGGGAAATACATTCTCAACCGCATCACACTGTATTCTCAGAATTGTAGTTGCGATTGGCTGATATGTAGCAATGTTAAACATTTAAACACTTAAGATCACACTTAATTCTATTACTGTTCTTTGCTAACAGCATGCATGGCTATTATGTTTAAATAAGTAATAATTCTGTTTAATAACTGACCAATATTGTACATTTCTAATTGTGAAACATTGACACTCGCAATCAGGACTTGCGTGGTCATAAAGCAAACACAACTGAACATTTTCTATTGAAAGGTTATGTGGACTGTTAAAGTAAATTTTCTAGTGTCTACCCTGTAGACGTTGAAGTAATGCTGATAGTATAATATTAGCTTCGGATTAAATAAAATTGCACTTTTGAAAGGAGCCAATTCTCTTCACAAGCTATTAAAAAGTGATCATTCTCTACACATTCTGTAATGACATTATGGCCATGGGTATTGTTGCATGACAACTGACAACATGGGACAATTCTTCTCGTAGCAATGTGCAGTAAAGACTAAAAATCCCACCAGTCAGTTGTGAAGAAAATTGTTTTCTCCATGAAGCTTTATTCCTCTATTTTAAAGCTTGTTGCCAGTATGACATTGGTGTTTTATAGGTGTATTAAGGATATGGCCTTGAAATATGTCATTACATGCATATTTATGTTATGTGAGTGGCAGTATTTGGCTATGAATGGCTTAGTACCAGCCATTTCCATCATACTGCCAAATGGAACTGAACTGGATTGTGCTGTAAGGTGTGCTGTAGTATAATGTGGAACACTGGATTTATCAGGATACGTTTGAGTTTAACAACCACACCGAAGGCCAGTATGTTCTGAAAGGTAATGCGCGTCCTTCACACCGTTCTGCAGACTGAGAGCGGTTTAAGACATGGGAAACCTTGGACACAGAGGCAAGGGTCCCATGAAATTAAATTAAGGAATTGGAAACCTTGAACGCAGGGACAACAACGCATGTCGGAAAGACATGGAGTGCACACTTATGCATCGAACCATTGCATTGCAAAGGGATACGTTTCGTACAATAAAACTGCTGAATCAATAAAATATTGTGTACATTTTTTTACATGCTAAACTGCCCATGGGGTCATATGAAAGTTAGTTGTGTGGGTGGTCTGTGGGGTTTAATGGACCATGTCATCTCCTAAAGTCAGCTTAAGTCCCAGAGTGAATAACCATGGATTATTTGAAAACATTTGCCCAAACGGTTGTAGCGTACTGTTTCACTTACGCATTGCTATTAAAATAGTGTACGTCTGTATCTGTTTAGGAGAAACAATTGGCATTGAGAAATTGTTGTTAGAAAAATCTGTATTATTAGACCATTTAAATCGAACACCTGCAGTTAGCAACACTATTCGTGCTGAGTAATCTTGCTATTAAAGGGTAATTTTATTTTCCAACAATTACTTCATGAGCAATTGCTTATTCAGGCTTATTTAGAATACTTATACTGTAGATCACGTGTGTGATGTTAAACGGCCACGTTTGTGCAACCAATAATTCTACCCGTCTCGTAAATCCTTTGGCGCGATATTAAAGTGATGGATGGTGTAAAATCAGTGTGATTGTGCTGTCCTTTTAAAGACAATCCATGTAATATCACTCACATTTTAACACTTGCGTTGTATATTACAATACAGTGAAGGAAAAAAGTATTTGATCCCCTGCTAATTTTGTACGTTTGCCCACTGACAAAGAAATGATCAGTCTATAATTTTAATGGTAGGTTTATTTGAACAGTGAGAGACAGAATAACAACAAGAAAATCCAGAAAAACGCATGTCAAAAATGTTATAAATTGATTTGCATTTTAATGAGGGAAATAAGTATTTGACCCCCTCTCAATCAGAAACATTTCTGGCTCCCAGGTGTCTTTTATACAGGTAACGAGCTGAGATTAGGAGCACACTCTAAAAGACACCTGTCCACAGAAGCAATCAATCATTCAGATTCCAAACTCTCCACCATGGCCAAGACCAAAGAGCTCTCCAAGGATGTCAGGGACAAGATTGTAGACCTACACAAGGCTGGAATGGGCTACAAGACCATTGCCAAGCAGCTTGGTGAGAAGGTGACAACAGTTGGTGCGATTATTCGCAAATGGAAGAAACACAAAAGAACTGTCAATCTCCCTCGGCCTGGGGCTCCATGCAAGATCTCACCTCGTGGAGTTGCAATGATCATGAGAACTGTGAGGAATCAGCCCAGAACTACACAGGATGATCTTGTCAGTGATCTCAAGGCAGCTGGGACCATAGTCACCAAGAAAACAATTGGTAACACACTATGCCGTGAAGGACTGAAATCCTGCAGCGCCCGCAAGGTCCCCCTGCTCAAGAAAGCACATATACATGCCCTTCTGAAGTTTGCCAATGAACATCTGAATGATTCAGGGGACAACTGGGTGAAGTGTTGTGGTCAGATGAGACCAAAATGGAGCTCTTTGGCATCAACTCAACTCGCCGTGTTTGGTTGAGGAGGAATGCTGCTTATGACCCCAAGAACACCATCCCCACCGTCAAACATGGAGGTGGAAACATTATGCTTTGGGGATGTTTTTCTGCTAACGGGACAGGACAACTTCACCGCATCAAAGGGACGATGGACGGGGCCATGTACCGTCAAATCTTGAGTGAGAACCTCCTTCCCTCAGCCAGGGCATTGAAAATGGGTCGTGGATGGGTATTCCAGCATGACAATGACCAAAAACACATGGCCAAGGCAACAAAGGAGTGGCTCAAGAAGAAGCACATTAAGGTCCTGGAGTGGCCTAGCCAGTCTCCAGACCTTAATCCCATAGAAAATCTGTGGAGGGAGCTGAAGGTTCGAGTTGCCAAACGTCAGCCTCGAAACCTTAATGACTTGGAGAAGATCTGCAAAGAGGAGTGGGACAAAATCCCTCCTGAGATGTGTGCAAACCTGGTGGCCAACTACAAGAAATGTCTGACCTCTGTGATTGCCAACCAGGGTTTTGCCACCAAGTACTAAATCATGTTTTGCAGAGGGATCAAATACTTATTTCCCTCATTAAAATGCAAATCAATTTATAACATTTTTGACATTCGTTTTTCTGGATTTTTGTTGTTATTCTGTCTCTCACTGTTCAAATAAACCTACCATTAAAATGATAGACTGATCATTTCTTTGTCAGTGGGCAAACGTACAAAATCAGCAGGGGATCAAATTCTTTTTTTCCCTCACTGTACATATATCAGTATAACATCAGTACAACGTCGCATATCCGACTCACTGGGGGATTGAGGTATACAGACATGTACGAAACGGTAGCATGTGTGAACGTCTGAAAAAAGTGGTAGAGATGAGTATTACTAGCTTTTTGTTACACAGCACTGTATATGTTAATAAAGTATTGTAAAACGAGGAAGAAAAAATACACTTAAAATATCAGTTTCTATATGATATTTAGCAAATGTCGTGAATTGAACCAACGTATGGAAATACATGCGCAGTACACACGAACGCAGCTTCCTGTGGCTGCCTTCGTGGTTTTTTTGCTATAAATCGCTAATCTGCGGAAGAACGCTCAATATTTGCACGTGGATGCTCGCTTGTTGAAGCTGCAATGCTACACATTCTTCTTTTAACCGAACGTACTTGGGTCTCATATTTGCGGGTTACCCACTCAAGTAAAACAAAAGCAGATTGAAGCGTACAAGGTAAGTGCTTGGCACATTGACAATGTAACGAACACACGTGTGACGTCTAAAACAGGGGTGAATCGGGACGGACACGTTAAGAAGGTGATGCGTTGGTTGGTGTCCTGCGCTATGGCACGCGGTTTGAATTCCTGCAGGCCACAGCTATAACAACAGCAGCTTGTGTTGAGCGATATCTGAGTTGGTCCTGGGTTCCCCTCCCGTTTCACCACTCACCAGCAACGTGCTGAAGCGTGCTCATACAACACTCATGACCGAAAGGTCTGGGGAGGTCTTCATTTATCCAGCGGTGGATTGACAGTGGGCTGACCATCTGTTTCACCCCGTTAAACGAAAATGCTGAAATTGTTATTAGAGTAGTGGAATTTAATTGGCTTGTGTTGGAATGTGTTTTGTTTTACAACTATTAATACATCATGGGAAATTAGGTCCCATGATGTAGATGCTCACCCCGACCTCTCATTACTCTGATAGTGGCATTGTCTTTTGGCTGTTCGCCTTTTGGCGTCCTCTGGTCTAACACCGTTTTGAGACGAGGCTCAAAAGAAAGCTGTCTCTGATGTGGACCAATCAGTTTAAAAGACAATGCATATATTATCAGAGTATGTGTTTTGTTTGCATTCTGACCACAAGTATTGTGGTTAATGCAGACATGATTCCTTGTAAAAGATTTCAGTTTGGTGTTTTAACATCTTAACACAACTGTTTTGTTGCCAGAAAATTTTTTGGGAAAACCTATTCTCAGGGAAATTAGAGTTTTCATGAATTCATGAGCATAGAAAATATGAATAATGCAGTACGGCACAAGATGTTTAAAGTCAATAGGGTTTTTTTTTACAGTTAATTCGGACACAAATAGATGCTGCTACTCGATTATTCTACACTGTTTTCTATTGCAATGATAAACAACATTCATCTACGTTTCAAGATTTGCACGCTGTGATCACGAATTGTGACCGGTTATAAATCGAAGTGTAACGACTGACAAATGGGGAGATAAAATATTACGGTTTGTATCCACTTCCACGCACGGTTAAAGAAGTATGGATTAAATCATTTTTAATACACTGAAGAAATGTGAACAAGTCATAAGGACGGGGTTCTCAATTTATACTGATTATAGTTGTACTTTTTGAACTAAAAATGGTATTATACATATAAACAAAAAATAGTATCTTAAAATATTAAAGACGAGTGGAAATACAAATCGTCAAACGATGCCCCCCCCCACCAACACCACCACTTGTCATGCAGGTACTGCAGTCGCGGTGATGATTGTTGCTGTCGTGGTCGCATACCGTGTCAACCCATACCGTTTATCCGTATTCTTGTGAAGGGAAATTGAGTTTTGCAGGTCGATTCGGCGTACAGCCGTTTGAATACGGGCAAAATAAATTTGTCTATTTGTTTGTGTTTCTCCCTTGTGATGGGACTTTGCAGGATGAACGTTGAGGTTTATAAGGGCACGGGGTGACCAATAAGGTCTGAATTGGTCTGTAATAAGGTCGGGCACTGGTAACGGGTTGACAGCTGTGTTGATGTCGTGCATTGCTTCAGTGCTTCTCGCCAATCTTTTCATTCAATGGCTCTCACTTTGCAACTTCCTCGATATTCGCGACGCGCCGAACAACAGCAACAAAATCCTAACTGCGCATACCGCGACCGAGAGAGAGGGGAGTTGAGGAGCGCCTGGAGGCTTTGATGGCTGTCTGTCCTACTTGCGCTATGATCGGATAGAGAGGGGAGGTTTGTGGGGGGGGGGGGGGGACTGGATCGACCACTGAACGGCATGGAGCGTTCGTCTGTCGATCTTTCCATGCCTATATTTCTGAAAATACTGGGTTGCACACCTGGTAAAGACCCACGTGTTTGTTTTGCTTGCCGTTGTTATTTGTTTTCGTTGTTGGTGGCTATTGCCGATTGCCGTATTTGTCGTTGTGGCGGTTTTGGAGTAGTTGCCACTGCTTTGATTGTGGTTCCAGTTGTGGCCGCAGTCAATTGTTGTGGTCGTGGTTGCTGCTTTTGTAAATTGTTTTCGTCGCCTTGTGGTTGTCGTCATCGAAGTTGGAATTGATCACAGAATGGTGTTTTCTCACGAGAGTTATTTGTATTAAGATTAGCAAGAAATATACGGTACCGTAATTGTCAGAATAATAATAGTAATGTATAACTGTTTCTCAGTCCACTGCTTGATTGTCTTCATCATGCTTAATCGCACTGATCAGTGTGGGTTGGTGATAGATGGGGCATGTGACCCAGGACCTGTCCATATGTCACCCATCACTGATGTTAGCCGTGGCTGGCAATCAAACGCAGGTCGCTAAGATTATAGCACAGTGCACGAACCAAACCATGTTCCAGGATATATTTTATTCAGGATAAATATAAGGTAAATGAGTAATCATAATCGTTTTAACTCCAATTCTACAATGCTATATAGTGCAAAGTAATGCTTTTATTTGCCCACTCTATCACGACCATATTTCACTTGCTATCAGTGCCGCATTATCCTAGGAGCAAAAGTAGCTACATATGCTACGGAACCCGCACTTTCAAGGGCCCCGCGCTAAACGCTTTCAAGCTATCAATCCCAGTTCAGCGATTCTGCACTTGCTCTATTACTATAGTACTATACCGCCTTCAACTTTTATGAACGACTGGGTATTAAAGGTGAGCGATTTGTCGTATAGTCTGGCTGTATAGCAAATTAACAAATGCAATTACTTTACTATGCAAGTAAAAAAATTGTGTTTTAATATTTACTTTTAATTTTATTTAGGGCCACTTTATAAAATATGTAGTGACATCGGGGATGTCACTGTATGGTGCCGGCCCAGAAGTGTCGTGGCGTGCGATGCACCGTCATCGCGTACACCCCGTGGGTGGGTGTAGTACCAGCCCTAGCGGGGCTTGGTGAGTGCTGGGATAACGCGGGCACCACGCATAGCGTGCGGTGCGGGCTTCCACGAGGGGGAGCGGGAGAGAGTCATCCCAAGGACAGGGTTGCCCAGGGCCATGGCACTCTGGTTGACCCCGTAGACACGTGATCTGGAGTGTCCACAGAGAGGCCCCCAGGTGGGGGAGGGGGGGGGCTAGGGGGTGATCACGTGTCCGGGGAGAGCTCTCGAGAGGGATCGAGGAAGAGGAGCTAGAAGGCTCCAGAAGGCGGGCGGGGCCAGGGGCGGAGTGGCCCCGACCCGTGGGGGGGATATAAGGTGGGTCCCTGAGAGAGACCGGGGGGAGCTGCATTCTACAAGCGGGAAGCTCTACGTCTCAAGCTGGAAGCTCTAAGTCTCAAGCTGGAAGCTCTACGTCCTACGAGGCAACCACGTGGTCGCGGACCCGATTGAGGGCCCAACCCTTCGTAGCAGTAACTCCTCTGTATAGCGTAGTTAGCTGGGTGGTCACCACCCTAGCCTGTATCTGGTGAAGGGGCAGTTGCCCCTTTGTGTTACGTGTTACAATTAAATGTATTGCCTTTAAAAGGAACAACATCTGCGACTCAGTTGGACTCACGACACATATGCTAGAGGCCCCGCACTAGCTTAATCCGGCACTGCCTGCTATACTTGGCCAGCTGCTTGTTGAGAAATGTTGCACGTGAGTGCTCAGACACTCACGGAGTTGGACACCGCAAACTCTGCACACACAATTCAGCAATCTCTATGTTTTACTTTCTCTTCACACGCAGCGTGCTGTCCTGGAAGGTGATTGCTTCGTGATACAACTACCCCACCTTTGTACCACTGGAATACAGGTGTGTACCACCACCAAAGACAAATATCGCCCATGTAGCCTGTAACAGACTGTTGGGGCTAGTGCAATTAACGAGTACCTATGAAGGCCGGTACAGAATACGAGGGGGTGGGTGTCCAACACCACGCCCGCCCGCCTTTGTCTCCCGAGTGGCGATGTTTACACATCGCACTGGGTACTAATTTGAGGCTGAGTTGACCTAGGGGAGGCCTAGGACCGGTTCAGATAATCGTCACTAGTGTTGGCCGTGAGCAGGAATCGAACCTGGGTCGCCAGGTTCGTAGTGCAGCACGCTAACTGCTACACTACCGCTCTCCACAACCACCACCATGCACAATCTTGTACAGGGACTTCTCTACTTACGAACATTTGACTTATGAACTTTCAGAGATACGAACAAACCTGGTCTGTATGTCCAGTTGCCTGTTCGGACCGAGAGTCATAAGTTCAACTCTCGAAAGTTCAACTGGCAGTAGTGGCATCTGCAGAACGTGAAGAACAAGTGACATCTAGTGTACATGCCGTAACAACGTTTGGAATCAATGCGAGTAAAGTTGGAATTACGAACAAATCGACGAACGAATAGACCTCTGAAACCTAACTCGTTCGTAAGTAGAGGAGTCCCTGAAACATGTTGCGTGCTTTGAAGAAGGACCATTGCCTGGAAAGAAACATCAGTGTTGACGATTTAAGTTGTTGAGTATTTGTGTTTGTGAAGCACTGCCAATGCAGTATCGTCAAAATACGTAATTGATTGTTAACATTTTCTCATCCTGGTATGCAGTAATAATAACATTGATACAATCTATTTAACAGAGAAAGCCTCAGATTCTCAACACTCTTTTCCAGGTAGAGTCATGCAATGGGATATTTGTTAAATTCTGTGAAAAGAGTGTTTTATATTGCGGGAGAAAAACTTGCATACTCGGGAGAACCCCACCGATATGAGGACAGCACACTCAAACGCACGCACAGGCAGATTCCACAATCATTTGCTTGTTAGTACTGCCAACTCCGAGCCACCTCGCAGCACAGGAGCATTGTGAGTCTCACAAATTTGTGTGATCCACCGAGCTTGCCTCCAGAGTGCTACATCACAGGCCTACATCAATACACCCGGCTCAAGAAACGGAAACGGGTTGTTAGTAGTCGTCCTTGGCATGCGCGTTATAATGATTCAATAATCCTTGCGACCTCTCGACAAAAAGAGCAATGATGGCCTGCACTCTTTCTCACGTTTCACAGAGGCATACAGCAAGTTTCCTCCCCCCCCATCACGATTCTACGAATGGTCACAATTTGGCAGTCACGAATTGATTCAAGTAACATTTGTTATTTTGCTGTGGTGCATGAAGTGGCTATCGCTGCGGCATGGTTTCATGTGAACCAATCACATACAACATATCATGACTTGTATTCTTTTGTTCGTTTACTGCTGGATGAAGGCCTCCCCATGCCAGTATTTGACCATACTTCACCATTATGGGCAGTGCGGGTTGGTGAAGGTGGGGGGAAGATAGGACCAGTTCAAGTATCACTCGCCATTGATGTTAGCCGTAGCCGGGAATCGAACTCAGGCCGCCTGGTTTATAGGGCAGTGCACTAATCACTGCTCTACTGCTCTACCCTTAAACGAATTTAAACTACGAAAATTTTACACACACATTTTTTTAACGCTTGCATTGTGAGTGTAAGAATCCATTTTAAATCAATGCCACGCATCGTCGCATGCCTAGATTGTCGCGTTGCATGCTGTCACAGTCTCTTTACACAATGCTAACACGTGCTTTAAACGTGACTTGTTTTAACAGGTGCACCTCTAATGAACATGCGTCAGATGTACGCAGTTGCCATTTTTTGGGGTGTTTGGCTTCATGTGACTGCAAGCACCACGAATGTGAGTGAGACGAAGAAAACAACATCCACGACTTTCGTCGATGACCAACATCAACACGTGCAGCCGGTGATGAACAAGGACGACCAGGTTGATGCTAGAAATACACATTTTAACAATCAGACATCTCTGACCAAATTCAAAATAAATTCGATGATTGAGGGTCCTAACAATGACGAGGCCATGGAAGCAAACTATGAATACGTTACCAGCTTTGACGAAGATGATATTACTTCTGAGAAAGGAACAATGGGTCACAAAAAAGACAAACAACAGGTCACAACTGCAACGATGAATGTGGATAAATGTCACGGTCCATGTGGTAAAAAGACGTACGCGATCGTCATACTTGTGATGACCTTCATATGCATTGCATTCATGGTGTCGACAATCATCTTGGGCTGCAAGGTAGCTCTCTCAGCCGACACGAAAAACGGCGAAGTGCAACGAGATCATCTCATCTGTATCTCTGCCATGACCGGAGAGACTCAACCGTTTGCTTTTGACCTTGTTACAGGTGCAGCTCTGCCAGAGCCGAGTGGATCTATGCATCGTATGAGCTTGATTAATACACGTACATTGGTGTGAGCTTAAGACAGCGGTTGGGGAACATTTCTTTTTTTTGCTGGGGACCGAATACACAAATACTGTATTCAAGTACCGTTTGGCTGGCCACACATAAACACACAATTGATGGTGTATAATAATGACGTGACACAAAGTGTTTGTGTTTTTTCCACCTTGTACAAAGAGGCCCTTGCTGTGACAGACGCGATTGAACGTGCTAAATGTATGAACAGTGTTTGCCTTGTCGAAAAGATTACCCCCAAGTCCCAATTTGATGCCGCTAAGATGCTTGCAGTGACGGATAAAGATCATTTGAGGGCTGTTTTAAAATAGTTGGCCTCGTGTGGTTGTGGACTGTAGCAAATGAAGCCGTAGGCAGGAGGTTCCCTACTCCTGGCTTAAGACAACTTTAGACATTTTGGAAATGGTGTGTAATGCAGGAATGTCGCGGTTAATTTGCAAATTACTTTAAATGATTCCAACATAAAATCGATACTGAATGTATTGTGCTCGTTTATACTGTGCATGGAAAACAAACCAATGATACTGTAAACATACTTTTTTTTTTACATTGTAAAGTGTAAAGAAATAACATGTTTCTTCAAAAACCTTTGGATGAACTTGACATCACACCGGGACGTTTTAATTCATGTGAAAAACCAGAGCTTAACTTCTTATGGAATCTCTTTAGAGGCACCCCTAACACTCAACTCACCAAGACCCATCTCCCGAAATTCCCACCACCAGCATTGGGCAGGGAGATGGTATAGAGGAAGGGGGCAGAGCAATACTTTCCAGAGTTCAGCCCCGGTCATCTCTTATTTCCCATATACAGCGATAAATGCACAGTTTTTGTTTTGCAACAGCACCCTACTATTTTCAAATCACTTTATGTGTGATTTGGGGTTAAAATCTTGATTTGGAGCTTTCGTGACTGCAGGAATTACTCTTTGGTTCTTTCGGTAAAGTCACGTAGAAAGAGAAAATAATAAATTAAATAATAGCATACGACGTTTCGATTGCAACACAAGCAATCGTCATCAGGTACAAATGAAAGAGAAACAATGCAATACAACACGTAATCAACCAGGTAGGATGTTGACTGTTATGTTAGCCGACTCTCTGTGTTGTATTGCATTGCATTTCTAAGTTTACTAGGTTTGTATTCTCTTTCATTCGTACCTGATGACGATTGCTTGTGTTGTAATCGAAAGTTCGTGTGCTATTATTTAATTCATTATTTTCTCTTTCTACGTTACTTTACCGAAAGAACCAACGAGTGATTTGGGGTTGCTTGTGTTCGGTATTCGATCTGGGGGAAATGTTGTCACCTAAGAGCTGCCCAACGTTGAAGTAAAAAATTACGCTTTGTTTTCATCAACAAATGTGGATTTTATTACGCAATAAAACCAGTTTAATCTCTATATTTTTTTAAGTGTTTAAATATTTGTTTAAGGAAAACATGTTTGTGCTGCAAATTTGAAAAAAATATATGTAAAATCAAAACTCTGTTCCACTGTGTTTAAACGATCCAATATCCAAATCGGTGTTGTTTATAAGTGAATTGCTTATATTGCTTTAATTTATGCAAATTATTTTACGTCGAAACACTTCCATTGATAGTCCATTGTCAAGTTAAACATTTAGTGGTTATCTTGCTCATATGATCATTCATGGTGCTGCTCATCTCCCGTCTACAGCACTGAGCCCGTGGTGAAACTTCCGCATTCATATCGCAGATGGCAAGGTTATTCATAGGGTAATCACTGGTGCCTTTCCCACAACAAAGTGGTACTAATTTTATCGACCTCGGAAGGATTGTGGGTTGAGTCAACCTCCAACTTGCAAACCTTCCGACTGCGAGCTGCTCACTCTACCACTGCACTACCTGGCCGCTTTGATTTATTGCAGCCTTTTTTTTTTACAAAAACATCGATGTACATTTAAGCTCCGTACAGTATCAATAAAGTGTTTGCTTGAATGTATGCACGTGTTCTAATGCTCATATGGTACAATCTTTTCGTGGATGATGTTGCCACATTGAAGCTAATGCCATACGTTTCTCAGTAAAGTGAATTGAAATACAAAATATTTTAAGATTAACTTTTATTAATGGGGCAAAAATATTCTTCGCCTCCTGTAAACAGTATTTAATTTTAAAAAAATACCTTTTGAATTCAACAACATAGTTTTCACTTATGTTATACTTTTTAATACGACTAACAAGAAATATGTTATATGTCACGTTGAAAGCTGCTTTAAAATGTGCTAAATTAGCATTGCTGCTTAAAGGTTGTGCTTCGATATTTTGCAAAGTATGTTATTTAATAAAGTTTTGTATCCATATTATCTTGTCCAATTTCTGATAAACCAGCCACAAGTCATATCAGTATTTACCAAAAGTATGTACTGGCTACACGTGTACACTTGAAGAACTTCGGATGTCCACCACATTAAGATACAATCTCTTGATTCACGTATAGCAGGCATCCTCAACTATATTTTCCAGCAGATAACATAAAATTAGCGTGTGCTGGCAAGCCACGTGAGAACACATGTCGAATATACACATGCAATGACGTATATACACATGCAATGACGTCACACGGGCGTCTCGCTCATGTTTATCTCGTGCTTAGAGCTTCCCCCATCTCTCTGTTGACGACCAGGACATAATGGGGATAATAATATCTCGTATTCCTGGCAGAGGAGATGATTGCTTGTAAATGTTGTGATCTTGAGTGGTGTATTATTGCACAACTTATAACAACCGCGACTTTTAAAATGGATATATATAAAAATTACAGATTTTCCAGCTTAGGACAGGTTCCTCAAAACGAGGACAATCCCGGGGAAACCTGGACGGATGGCAACCGTAACCTGTTGTTTATCTCCCTGTCATCTCGTTAATCTCTCTATGTGTTGGCGTACCACGACTCTCAGCGGGCCATAGCCACCCCCCCAGTGACGATGGTCACTCCAAGAGTCTTTGTGGTCCACGTGTGGCCCGCGGGCTGCCAGTTAAAGGCGTGCGATGAATGTTGCACATTTTGGCGGGTATTGCCTGCAAGTAAGAGTGCCGCGCGCCCCTCCATTAGCCACCCTGCACCGGGCAAGCGTGGTCACCAGCCGTCCACACGTCCTCCCATTGCTCACGTGGTTTATGGGGAGACCTCCATCCAGCGTGAGAGTGACGCAACGGGCTGGAAACTATCCAAACAAAGAGAGCGATGCACTGTTTTGGCCGTACACTTGAATAATAAAGGACAGATGCAAAATTATCAAAGTATTCACGGGGGAAATGTTACATTTAAATGGTCACTTTTAGGTGTTTTTGTTGTTGTTGTTGTTGTCCTTTCGGTGAAGTCACGAAGATAGAAAAAATAACAATAAAATAGTAGAAATAAAGTGAATACTTACGCAGATTGGCCACAATGCCATAAGAACGGATCCCTCTAAATTATTGTCTTTAGGCCCATTATTATTTTAAATCTGTCTCCAAAGAATATCATGAAGCAGAAGGTTAGTGCTGGATACAGTCATGTTTGCGAATATAATTTGGAACTTTTATCCTTACCTGTGTAGCGATGTTTGTATGTTGAGCTTAATAATTGTTTTTACCCTTCTGGCAATAAAACAGGTGTTAAGATGTCAAAACACCAAACAGGAACCTTCTGCAAGGAATCATGTCTGCGTATTTTAATACTGGAAAGAAAGGTCCCTATGATATGTTGATCTTCTTTCGCACCATACGTAGCCAACCTTTTTTTTTTGAGGGACTGTGTGTTATCTTGGTGTGGTCTGGGCCTGTTTTTGTTGTTGTTTTTTCTGCCTTGCCCAAGCTTGATTAATCTGGCTTCTGTAATAAATGTAGTATTTATTCATATTTGGTGACTTAGTGCATTTTTCTCTATTTTGCACCCCTGTCGTGTTTTTGTGCTGTTTGTTATTGTAACTTGCTGACCCGCCCGTACTGGACATTTGTGAAAAAGAGCTTCATAGCTCATGGGATTCCTCCTATAGTCTAAATACACATTCTGATTTTGAATAACATATAAGAAAGCAGCATGCCCTGCCAACCACGATCTACTACAGTTTGCACTTATTTCTGACAGCCACTGTAGCCAGTGGAGGGAAATTAAGCGTCAATAAGTGTCAATCATCTTTCCTTATAGCACATGTGCTATCGCATCACTGCCACGCGGGATTTAAATCTCCATAACGGAACAATGGATTTTGTTTAGTTTCACCGAGAATTGTATAACACACCATAGTCACGCACACCCACTCAACTGTGTCGTGGTGAACAGGAATGAGAATGAGGAACTGGGCTGAAAATTAGGAATTGGGCTGAGAATGAGGAAGAGGAAGAAGAAGAAACAGTCAACTTGCTCAGACCCGGACACAGAAACAACGTGCACGTGTAAATCTGAATGGAATCGTGAAAGATCAGAACGTTAAAACAGAAATGCCTTGAATAACATGATATGTTGTGATCCTACGTTGACAGTGGTACGTATTCACAAATGACAACAACTCGATACATTTGTCAATAACGCTGCCATGAAAGGGAAAAAAAAAATATTGAAGGAATGTTTCTGGCCAAAGGCAATTTCTCAGAGCACAGGTGCTATAAATAAGGGCAATTGTCTAAAACATTCCACATTATATATATATATCTTTGTATCCCCTTTTAGGGAATAATTATCGGTTCTTGATAAATCAACGCAAATCACCGAGACAGTTTCAAGGAAGATACAACGTTGGAAGGTGGTGTGAGGTACGGTTTTTAAAGCTTTAGGGATTTAACGATTCATACCACTGATATAGATTCTTAAGAAGCGGCAGCTCAGAGGCTCGGGGATCGGATTGATGAGCTGGCACTGCCGAGATCCCAAAATGTGAATCTGGGCAACCACGCGCGATTAAGCTGGGTTCTCAAGAGTGGCACGGTAATGGTCTCGGCCTGGTCGCTAATAACTGCACAACAACAACAAAAACCGTAACTTACCACATTTGCGTTTGCTTTTAATTTGCCTGAATTCCAGCGAAAAAGGAGTTTCAAAGAATTGGTTTGATTCGCCATGCGGGCAAACAGTCTTACAGCAGAATTTGTGCGAAAGCTCGTCTTCCTGTTGTGGACACTATAATCAGGCCACTTGGGGGACTCTTTAGGGGAAGTTGTGTAAACATCTCTTTCGGGGGGGGGGGGGGAGGGGATTCTCGATGTGAAAGGAATCATTGACTTCTCAAATGAAATCAAAAGTTTACTTCTTTAAAGGTGCCTTTCTTAAACCAAGGCGCCCGTACATGCATTATCATAGAACTTTACAATCGTACAATTTTAGAAGCATAATCAGGTGAATATAAAACTTTTGTGACATGGTGGAAATAACACAGTTGTAATAAAATGTGAGAAAAAAAACCCTCCAAAATCATAAAATCGATATATTATTGACATAAACTATACCTGCATTAAATCATGTTTGTTAAAAAATCTAAAATAGGTTGGGTTCACATTATACCTCCAGACACGAGAGGCCGCTACATTCACAACAATGTTAAAAACAATCAATTACTGAATGAGAATCACGACCCTGAATCGTGACAATTAATTGAACCGTAAGGGACGTGGACCATTGATGTTGCATGTGTACTATTCAAACTATGAAATGCAATTTCTATGATAACTATCTGGGGAGGGGATAGACTTTAAACACGAGAGATGCAACATTTTACCATTTAAGAAGTTTACTAATTTATACGACTTGGATGAAATGAATGCATGTGCTGCTGTGTAGATTTTAGCGGTTGTGCTGTTCCAGTACAGCTTGTCCAGGCGCGTTGCTGTATGCCGCGTGCGGTTCGGCACCGACGTCTCACGTTTCACGGCACACGTGCTGGGAACTCCTTGCTGCATTCCTGAACAAGCTCCCAGCACGTGGGCGCAAAACGTTGGACGCGGAGCCAAACAACACGAGTGCGGCACAACCACCCCCCCCAAAAAAAAACACAGGGGCAGTACCCATTGTGATTAGGTGAGGTCTGTCATTTCACAGTCATTAGATTAATCTGATATGCTGCGGATAATGGGAGCACATTTTTCTGCTGTACATTAGATGGAATACGTCTATTCTTTCTCAGGTAATTGGCGTAAATGCACTGCGCCTCTTAATCCATAAATGATGGATCAGTGGCTTTAAAAGGGAGCGCAAAACACCGACGCGTACAATTGTCAGCGTCACCTACGAAATACCCAAGCGTGCTTTCCCGGAGGAAGCTTGCCAAAAGTAAGTGTGATTTCATGTTCTTACTGCCGAATAACAAAAAGACTGTATATATTTTAAAAGATAAAGGTGGAATTGCTTGTCCGTGCCACTGCGGGTGGAAGGGCCACCACGACAGAGCGTTCGAGATCATCCTTTCTCTGGCGAGATACTGCTGGAAGGACAGCAGTGTAAATGCAAGATTTCATTTTGCATCTTACACTTCATATTCGTAATTTATCGTTTACCTTTTGGCTGTGATGAGTGCGAGGTGCCAAGAGATGGCAGTGCAAACATTGTATGCAGTCCACTGATAAATCTGGTCCACTCACTGGATTGTCTGTGGATCGAATCCATCTGTGCAACGCTTTGGAGTATAAATTCTCTCATATGTGTGGGTTTTGTTCGGGGTTCCCTGGTTTCTTCTCGCTTATGAATGGTATTGGCCACACAATGCCAGACCTTCTTGAACAAAGGAGTGTTGAGACTTATCTCAGAAACTAATTGGCATTAGTGCAAGTAAAATATTTTAAGAATCCTATGAGAAGTTTTTAGACAAGAGCATAATGTTATTATAATAATATTAAACAATTATGGAAACGGTGTAAATTCCTCAAAACAAATTTCAGGACAGATGATGGTGTCATTTTCTTGTATCCCACAATTACATTTAGTGTTGAGTAAAAGCACAATCACTCCGTTTGCAGCAGCTAGTGTGTAACAATTGGATGTCTCGGCTTGAACACGAAGTGGAGGTTAAGTGCTGTGTAATCGCTTGACGTTTTTCTTACCCTCTTGTTTTCTTGTTTTCTGGAAGAGAAGTACAAAGATGGGCAAACCGATGACTCTCTTGGCGATTTTAATCTGCACCAACCTAGCTCTCGTTTCCTCTTGCCCGGACATATGCCGCTGCAATTTAACATCGATGGACTGCGCTAAAACATCCCTGCAAGTGTTGCCTTCGAGGATTCCTATCAATATAAAAAAAATCCACATGGAAAACAACCTGCTGGATAATGTCGACGGCCACCTGAAAATCCATGAAAAGTTACTCTATCTTAACCTCAGCCAAAATCGTTTTTCCCATTTTCCAAAAGGTCTGCCTGGGAGCCTTAAAGTCATTGACATGTCCAACAATCAAATATCGCAGATCGATTCAACCGCTGGTGCTGCTGACTTGAGATCAATTGAAGAGCTTTATCTCGATAACAACTTGCTCACCAAGATTCCGAGTGGGTTCTTCAACAGGCTTTCGAAGCTGCGCTTGATAACTCTGCATGGAAACCCATGGGCATGCGATTGTTCGCTTCGGTATCTCCAGAACTGGCTCGGGAGCAATCCCGGTGTTGTGCTCGATGCGCCGGTGTGCATTGAGCCACCGGATTTCAGTGGAGTTAAACTTCTCTCCATCCCTGCCCGGCGGCTGTGCTCGCCTATGGCACAGAACGCCAAGCTGCCCGATAACTCTGGGCCAATGATGCGGTCCTACCGTTCCATGTACGACAATAGATTGACTGCGAACGGGACGAATTCTACTGCCTCGCCCACATCTCCTCCTTCGACCACTGTTGTGCCAACAACGAACCAACAAGCGGGTCCGCTGACGGCTGGCGAAATCGCAGCCATTGTCTTGGGTATCTTGGGACTCTTGTCGATTGCTGTAATTGCTGTACTTTTTCTGGCTGCAAGAAATGGAATTGAATTTTGACAGTGATAAGTTTGTCATGAGATAATGCCACATTGCGTATTAGTGTTCAGTACAATGTGGTGGGATGCATTATACATATAGATTAATATTATGTAGGTTTTGCAGTTGTGCTGGAATGTTCCCCTAATGTTTCTTTTTGGTTATGCCACGTTCTTGTTTGGCACGATGTTTTTGGTGAACCAGTATCCGCTGAATCTCCCAGCACACAGAGCAATTTTATCACACATTGTGCCAAACAAAACGTAATACGGATAACCTGAAAACACATTGGAGAGGCATGTCACTTCACAATAGGCTTGCAACTTTGTCAAAAACGCAAATATATAACAATTGTGTTCTTCATATATCCAGTATTAACACAGATTTTAAAGAGAGGGTACTGCATGACGTTGTTTGGCAAAATTCCATGATTGAGCGCTGGGCATATGGAAGGAAAGCAGAGATATATGGTTAAAGATTAAATCCATACGAGAAGGTAACACTCAAAGCTTTGGAAAGCTAGATTCAAGAATCCATTGCTGTACACTGACATCCTCTGGACACCTTGTAGTCCAAACCTACAGCACCTGATATTTCCAGGCAGTAAAGTCCTAAACCAGGCAAAATACCTGCTTAGCTTTTTTTAATTATATAGGGAAATCATAGGCAAGGGTGAGAGCGTCAAACAGGAATAGACGGGCTGTATCTATCTTGTTTAAATGCCTCGGCTTCACACAACTGTTGGCCATTGAATGTCTTAAGTGCGTTAATTACGTGGTTTACAATGTTTAAAGATTCAGTATGTGGTCCGTTCACCGTTATAGTTTTTTAAATATTTGACGCTCACTCCATGTTAAAGGTCTATAGCCAGGGGTCCCCAACCCCCGGGCCGCGGACCGGTCCGTGGCCTGTTAGGAACCGGGCCGCACAGCAGCAGGAGGTGAGAGCGGTGAGTCCGCACGTGGAACCCGCCCCCATTATTTTATCATTTACCACTTCCGTCCGCGCCTCTTTCCCGCACTGCGCGCTTGTCTCAGTCACAGTGTTGGTATAAAGCCCACAAGCTCTAACCCCTAGTAGCCACAATGAGTAAAAAAACAAACGTCGCTGGAGAGCTTCTTTGAAAAGGGGGGAAAGACCCAATGATGACCCCCCCCCCCTCCCCGTTCTGTGCAAAAATTCTGTGTAAAAATTGTCCTCCACGAAACCGGTCCCTGGTGTCATAAAGGTTGGGGATCGCTGGTCGAAAGAATTGTACAACTCCGAAATAAGCTTTGCTTAAAAATTACAAATAAAAATTTGAAGAGGGTTATTCACACTCACAGGTTACTCAATACATTGATTACAGCCATATAAAATGTATTCATTCCATCACGTGCATTATTTAAAATGTGTTATCGCACACCGTTGAAAATAAGCTTTATTATGACCGTCGGAGTGAAATTTAATGAAATAGACAATTGCGTGAAATACCAGCATTATTATTTTTTTCTTATAACCATGGCTCTCCTACACGTATTACATAAATTTTCTCGTTACTATGACATTAACAACGGCTAATTGAACAGCTGCATATGTTTTCACGGTTGTGCTGTACAGCTCCCTAATCTGTTTTCACGCTCGCTGGACTGCACGTTGTTTGGCACGATGACCGACGTTTCGTGCCTGGTGGTGCTGGAGTGAACTTTATCAGGAACCGAATAGAGAAGTGCACGCTCTCACGCGATGTGTATAATTTTTAAAGTAGTCAACCGCTGCTTGTTTTTTACGATTAAATTTCCTGACCAAGCTACCAGCACGAGGTGCGAAATGTCAGACGTCGTTCCAAACAGCAGGCAATGCAACCTGAAAACACATCAGGGGGGCTGTCTGTAAATCAAGACCACAGATTCCGAAAACTGTACCTGCATGGGTAACTATTTATATATATTTCACATACATGTATATGGTATGTGACGTATCTTACATTTATTTGGAAAGTCTCAATAAAAAAGCAATAATCTAATGGCATTGTCAAAGTTTTTCTATATATGTAAGAAAGGGAAATGTGTGAATGTTCGAAATGTTTAACATACTTCCCGACATGCAACAAACTTGAAATTTGGCATGTGGGCAGCTTCCAGACTGTACACAATGTAAAAAGTATAAAAATAGACTTTTACATTTTGGGGGGGGGGGGGGGGGGGGTGTGGGGGGCGCAATAATGGATATATTTTGCACGGCAAGTGAGTGGTGACGTCACATCTGTGATGTCACCCGCATGCGGCAGAGTCACGCAGTGTGCCTGCTGACGTCACGCATCCCCCCCCCCCACCCTCCGTGTATGCCGTGTATGAATCCAAGACAAGAATCCAAGACCCGGGCGAAGCCGGGTAGTAAAACTTTTACTGTGTATATATTACGTTGAGTTGTTTTTAAAATTAATCAGCTGTGTTATGGCACGCGTTTTAAGAGTCAAACTTCTAAATCACGAAAAATAAATATTCATTTATTTGACAAACAAATAGTCTGCTACAATTTTATTTTCTCGTCAGTGTTGTGGGTGTGTGTGCCACTGCACAACAGGCTGCTATTTAAACAACAAATCAGACCGTCAATCCACACAAACTATACGAAAATTATACTTCCACAATTTTACGCTTCAACACAGCCCATCCTTGTGAATGTGATCGCACCTGAAATCACGAATAAATCTCGATAACAACAAGTATCGAACTCAGCATGCACACCTTATGTTTACACGTCGGAAAGTGTGTAGTGTTCCACATTCTTAAAAAAAAAAAGCTACAACATACAAATATTGTGCGTCACCACTGGCAATATACAAATGTGAACGACATTTTTTTTCAACTGTTTTAACGGTGATGACCTTTTGATAAGATTTGTTTTTGTTATCAGCTTTGTCAGCTGTGCACCGTGCACATGTGTACAGACGAAACCTACAGCGGGAAACACGTGCGCATTTATTCTCGTTAAGAGCTAGGAGCGATTAGCGTGCCGGGCCTCGATACTGCACTCACGTGCTGAATCCTGTATTCATGACGCCAAATGTTTATTTATTTACTCAAAAAAGAGCTTTTGTGTAACGATTTTTACAACTCGAGATGGTTTTTGGTGCCCCTTGTCTATGCCTCCGATGAAACAAGGAAAACAAGAACTCTGAAAAGTTCACAAACGCGTATATATACACGGAGAATACACACCTGAGAGAATGGCCATCGTGGACAGGGAGCGATGAGGTCGACTCATGAGCGGGAGTCGGATGAATCGTGACATCTCAAGACTGGAATTTGATGACAACGACATATGGAAGGCCTTCCTCTAGCAGCGGATAAAACCTGGCTGGTGACCAACAGAAGTACATCACGAAATGCCTTTTTGCCAAGGCCGTACACAGCGATGTGCCGCTATACCGCATTATATTTAACCAAAACGCAAAGCGCTGATAATACTATGGCCAGCATTAGGCAAAAGGATGCATGCACAGTGAGGTTATACGATGGCTGTATTTTCAAGTATTGCTGTGACGTTTATTTCTATTGGTGTATCATCATTTGTTCACGCTAGTGAATGTAGGGGATGTATCACGTGATTATAAATCATTGCACATATATTCCTATACTTTCTTCTAATTCTAAAAGGTAAAATAGTGAAGTTGAAATTATGCTGCTGTACTGTAATATGTATTGTGGCCCCGGGACATGTCCTATGGCACCACGACATTAGCATTTCCAACAATACCCTTTCCAAAACAGATTTTATCCATCTCTTCAGCATTAATTTTGACCTTGAGAAAAATAGAATCTGCAATAAATACGATCTTATGAAGATGCTAAGCACAGCGAACTAACCAGGATGGATTAGTTTAACACGTAGGCTTTCGCGACCAATATCATCCATAATAGAGGGTTTTTTTGGGTTAGATCGTGTAAATATATAAATGTGTCGTTAAAGCCCGCCACCACCCGACACAGCCAACTAGTAGGGGTTGTCACGTGTGTCGAGTGGTGGCGGGTTTTAACGACACATTTATATATTTAGGCGATCTAACCCAAAAAAACCTCTTATGCAGGATGGATTATTTAACTTATACACACAGTGATATAATCACACATGCTTCCAAGAGACACAATCAAATGCACAGTGGCTAATGTTGAGGCAGCCTGACTCAAATGACAATCGGAATTTTTGAGGGCTGTTTTAGAGAACGCATCGTCTATTGTACAGAAATAGTAGCGTGAAATGTGAGTAGGATAAACAATGCCATTTAAAAAAAATGTAAGCATGTGGTTGAGTGATGGCACTGTGGCTAGCACACTGCACTATCAAACCCGGCGACTTGAATTTGATTATAAGGTCGACTCAGCCTTGAGTGAGCACTCGGAGTGGTGTCTAAACATCAGTACTGGGAAGACAAAGGTGCTCAAGCGTGGACTTGGCCACGACACTTTCTCGTGCAAGATGCTGGCCTGATTAAGTGTTCACAAACATCACATGCCCCCTAGCAGTCGAAACGCTGTACGGGAGATGGTTGTCTTTGCGCGCTTATCTGACCAAGTCCGTGAATATCACAACTGTCTCGCAAAGGGCACAGTGAACCTCAGGCGCTCATCTCCAATGGTGGCCCTGAGCCAGTGGTGAAAATTCCATATTGCTATGGCTGGAGCCAATATATCAATATTGCTGCAACCCTTGCCTTTCCACCAAGCGATGCTATTCAATTTATCCAAATGACTGTGTATTATATTTATATAATGACATTTATTTTTTATAGCTTTTCGTCAATCTACTGCTGGATGAAGGCCTTCCTATTGCATGCCATTCATAGGGGTTGTTTGACCATACTTCACCATGCTGGACAATGTGGGTTAACGTGGGAGCCTAGCACTGATTAATATTAATGAAGGGGGTGTCAATTTTAATAATGCGTTACTTTAACGCTTTCGCCAAATTCTCAAAGAATTCGTATAAAATACCCACTGGAAATGCCGTGGTGTTGTGACTTGCAATCCAGAGGTCGCCGGCGGTATGAATGTGTATGTACATTGAACTTCTTTTGGCGCCGTACATAGCCAACCGTGCTAATCGGAGGTGTTGGGGAATCAACTCACTGTATACGCTTCAGTTGATTTAGCAGTTTGTGTATGGTGCGACAAAGTGTGGGCACTCCCACCTCTTCCACGACATTTGGCCAATGTGGAAAAGTAGGCCGAACACCTGGAGGGACTCCCTAGAGCTTCCTCCAGCAGGGGCCTATTCAGCAGCAGTGGCGCGTGCAAGCAATTGCAGGGATGTCCCTCTACCTTCACCTGTACCGACGAAAATAAAATGCACACCCGGGGCTTTAAGGCAAGGGAAATATTTTCGTCGGAATTAGCATAACTTATCTGCAGCCAGTAGGTGGCAGTCAATATTATTCCAAGCAATTGTTCTGAGCAGCAACGTTAATGTTTCAACTTGTCGAACAGTCATGCAAACGGTAAGAAAAATGACCACACTATATTCCTGAGACGAACATTAACCATGCACGTCCACCTGATGTAAGGTTCAACATGGATATATAATTATGGTTTTCAGCCTTTGAGACAGATTGTTTTCTCAGAACTGCCATATAAAGTCTCAATACTGTGTTAAGGGTTTGTTACGTATACCATTGGAGCGGAGCAATGGCTTTGTGCTTATATGCTGCGCTATGCAGTTAGCAACCCCAATTAAATTCCTGCATGGGCGAGAAACGGTGTTCAGTGATATCTGAACTGGTCCTGGGCTTCCATTCACCATTTCACACTGACCAGTCGAGCAAAGTATGGTCAAACTAGCCTCCCTGAGTGGCACATCATGCGCCTGCCTTCATTTAACAGTTGTATTAACAAAGGGGTGAAAATAGAATTACGTATATATGAATGAAGCACTTTATAATTACTTCAGACAAGTG